CTATTATTAACATAAATATTTGGCCCATACATTATTAAATTTATGATTTTTTTATTACATAAATGTTCCATAAATAAATATGCATACTTGTAAAGCTATAATATCCCATATATTGCAGAAAAATTACAATTTTTTCTCTGCAGTTATCATCTCTGTTGATAATCAAACTTTAACGATAACACTGAAATTATAATTTTAAAGAAAAATTGAGTGTTATTGAGTTCTAAATGCATAAATACGTCTACTAAACTAATAAATCATAAAATTAGTACAATATTATCAGTTTTTACCTTTTAATTACTTCAATATTCACAAGGATGCGAACTCCCGTAAGGTTGTCGGTCTTTAATAGTATCTCGTCGATGCTACTAATCACGAGTAATATCACTACTCATATCAGCAGTGACACTACTACACTAGCAGTGACACTAGTAGTATATTTTCATGCGGGAAACGTAGCCAAATGTAGCAACACCAAGCAACACGTAGCAAATATGGCGATAAAAATGTGTGCCGATTAGAATGTGCCGGAAACGATGACAGCCATATTGAATATTAGTTCCTCATTTTCTGTCATAGCTATGAGGACGCTACAAATGCTGGTGACGAAAAAACCATGGCAGTTTGGTGGCCCTGACTAATCTGAAGCTTACATTTTGAAATCAAACGCTTCATATTGGCTGTCGCAACAAACTTGCGATCAGCTTGCATCTAGTGTAGAACCGACTTAAGACGGTCTTCGCCAAGATGTGTTCGAGATGAATTTAAGAAAAAATGATAAATGTTAAAAAGACCTCATTCACCTCAAATTTTAATTAAAATACACTGAATCGATGCGTTTTCGCGTAAAAATAAATATTTGATAATGAAAAAATGTCGCTCTGTCCCGTGAACCAAGATATTAAACATTAAAGTTGACGACTATTGAGGTTAGGAAATTTGTCATACTTAAATTATTGATATTTTAATTTAATTTAATTTAATTTAGTTTATTGCAAAGCTATATGAAAAAGACTACATGTTAACAGAGTAATCGACATAAAATATGGTGCAATAAACTATAGTTTATTGTACCATATATAACAAATTCAATTTCATTTTATCGATTTTTTGGTGAAAAATTCATTTTTAGCAAAATTTTAATAAAATTTCAGAGATTTTAAGAAATATTTTCGAAAAGTTCCTACAGAAGTTACAGAAATTTCAGAAAAATTTCAGTTCAATTTTAGCGAATTTTCAGTATATGTCAACTGAAAAATTAACTTTCAGTGAAATTTCAATAAATTTTCAATCAACAATTTCGCTAAAATGTTTCAAACATGAAATAATTTCAGCGAAATTTTTTCACCAGGGAACGCACTTCAAGTCGGAATCCATAATCAGCCTAATCATACAAAAGATAATGTAACACATTTCGTAAAATTATGCTTCTCAAATGCAGTGCTTCTATTGGAGAATCCAATTGGAAATATTACGAAAACAGCCGAATATTAAATAAGTTCAATCTTAAAACCATCTTTGTCATTATGACCTTAAATCAAACAAGAATTCCTTAAGGAAGAACTTCTTTTCGAAGATCGTCTTATTTCGTGATTTTGAATAGTTACGATCTCAAGATATGGGCCGTGGCACACAAAAACTTAAGACAGTAAGACGTAAACAGTAAAGAATTCAACATATTGGATTGGCTACTGCTTATGTTATGGCCTTACGGATTCTACTGTGATTGATTAATTTACTTACTGCTTACGTTTTTACTGCTTAAGTTTTTTGTATGCTATGGCTCGATCTTGAATAAGACAATCTTGACCAAGATAGAGTTAAGACATAAGACCGGAAGAACGCTATTACCGGGTGCCGGTCGGAAACAACACAATTCCACCATGGTTGACAGTTGATAATCTGATTTCGCGCGTTCATGCCTTCTATACCATAAAATAGTTGTTCACACTAATAGCCGCGGCACAGACTCTTGCGTAACGTGACACAGACTCTTGTATAATGCATAATGATAAAGAAATAAACCAATTGAAATTCTTCTTTTCCATGAAATGGGAGGAAAGATTCTGATTCGTTTATGCACTATGCGTTATGCGTTATGCAAAAGTCTGTACTGCGGCCTTAATTCATAGATTTACTACCAGATTGAAAGTATCTGCAAATAGCGGCGTTTAAAAGGACTCGAAATTTGACCAATCAGGAATCAATGTCCCTTATAACTTGACTCTTACTAAAGGAACTCTTACTAGACCAAAACCTTAAGCGCTGCCTTGAACTTTGACTATGAATACGGGCCATAATGTATTTTTATTATCTCGGATCTACAATAGATTTTTAGCCTTAAGCCATAAGGAATAGACGAATCACAATCAATTATTCTCCTCGCATTTGATTGTAGTTGATCAATTTCTTACGGCTTAAGGCTTAAAACACCTATTGTAGATCCGGACTTATGCATTTAAATGGAATGGATAAAAAATGTCGGATTAATCACAAACCGGGGAAAAGGTGACAGATTCTGGGCGATCATGTAACTTTTTTTCTAGGGCGGAAACGTGAAAAGTGAAAATTTTATATATATATGTGTATATATATACAAACATACATACATAAAAATTTTTACTTTTCACAGTTCCGCTCAGCGAAAAAGTTACATGATCGCCCTGAGGATCAATTGCGTATCATTGCCGAATATTCTCACTTCTCGCACTTTCATCTCACGTGAAAAAATATGCGCAATTGGTTATGAGTATAATAAAAATATGATATCCCTATTCTCACATGAGAGTGAAAATCACAGAGGTGTAAGAAATTTATTAAGTATAGACACAACAGCGTCAGGGTGTGTGTCTTAGTAATAGAACAAAAGTCTATCAATTCGGAGGAGAGACCATGGGCTCAATTGTATATTTTGAAATGAGGTGAAAATTACAAAAGTAAGCAATGATTACTAGATATTGATCAATTGAATTATGAATGTTCTAGTGAATTTGTTCACTTTTGTAATTTTTAAGAAACACAATCAACCTTCAGGCCCGGGATCGAAACGAGGAGCGCCCTAATATTTTTCTCTATTGTCGTTGTTTACAGATATGAGTGCGAAATGCAAGTGATACATGACCAAAGTAATACATAACTTTTGTTGCGACGCACGTAAGCATATACTCACATGTATATGTATAATTTATAACAGAATATAATTTATTTCAACATTAGAATATTTATGAACCGTATATTATTCAAATAACTATCATAATAAAATTACCTATACGGTCAAACGGATCTTAGTGTCCAATAATATTTTTAAGTGAATTTTATAATTTTACAATTTTATAATTTTTATTTGAACTGGAAATTTTTTAATTTACGCAGAAAATATAAGACAAAATTTGCTTCAACCGTATAGGTCATTTTATTATCTTAATTATTTAAATAATTTACATATTTATATACTTAATATATTTATATACTAATCTATATAATTTTCGATATGTTTGGGATTTCAAATAAATCTTGAGTATCCCGTAATCGTTTTTTTATTAAATTCAAGTGTCTCGCGAATTTTATTATTTTTGTTGTAATTTTCCTTCATACAAAACATAAAAATAATGTCCATTACTGGAAATCAATAATCTAGGTCTTTAAATAGAACGATTTTGACAAATTTCAACTAATTTCGATTAATCTCGACATGCTTTAACACCATTTGATATTAGGATGAGTAAAAAGTCATCGCGTATTTTTTAGCTCAAAGTTGTATATACAATATCTTCGTCAATAATGAATGAAATTCAAATTTAAAAAAAGGGTTTTAAAGCTTGAAATCTCTACTTTTAAAAGCTTATCACATTTTTTAAGTTTATATGAGTTTGATAATTTTTACATACCAAAAACTACGAGCTGAAAAAGACGAAAAATTTTCTTCTCACTTTGTGGATTTGTAACGTGTCCAAAACGAATTTGAGAAAATTTTCAATTACCTATCGTGAAAGCTTGATACTTTCCCTACAAAATCGTTTTTTTTAAATATTCCTACGACTTTTGATTACTGAGTTATCGCGGATTAAATAAAAGAATTATTTTGACTTTAATTGCTCATAACTCCATTAAAAATTGTCGTATCGTATAATTTAAAAAAGAGATTTTTAAAGCTGAAACTTTACTCTATCAAGATATATTCATATTGTTGGTAAGAAAGTAATTGCGGTTTTTACTGATAGATGTCTTTTAAAAAAACGCGATGACTTTTTACTTAACCTAATACAATTCGACATAGAATTTCTTGTCGAGTAATGTCACGTGAAAAATGTCGCATTTCCACTATGATGAAAACTATCCAATCAAATGAGAACTCACTTTTATCACTTATTCTATATATTTACACTAGGTTTTAAGATACACAATCGACCCTCTGATTAGAGAGTACCCTAGTATACCCTAATGTATATACCCTAGTGCCAATCATAAGTTAGGGTGAAATTACATGGTGCGGAATAGAGAATGTATCAATGACCTAGTTTTCATCGAAAGTTTAAACTGGATCAGAATGTAAGAACCAACCAATTACAGTCGAGTATTCCCCTGTCGAACGACTTATTACAGAGGAATGCTCGACTGTAGTTGGTTGGTTCTTATATTCTGATCCGGTTTAAACTCTCAGTGGAAACTAGGCCAATGGCTGCGTTCAGCGAACTCAACAATTGAGTAAACGCTCTCCATTATTGGTGTATTTTTTTAGATCATCCATTCAGCAATTTAGATCTGGAAGAATATATCAATAGCAAGCGCTCACTTAATTGTTGAGTCCGCTAAACACAGCCGTTAGCAACCAATCAGCTATTTTCCATCACGCAAATTTTGTATGCTATATTCACATGAGATGCGTTTATTTGTATAGTTACTGCCACAGATGTCGTTCGTTTATTCTACCTGGGGGGTTATTACGGTTCTTTGGATGAAGTGAAAATTACAAAAATGAGCAAACTCACTAAGTGTTAACCAAGTTATAAATATTCTAATAAATGCGGTCACTTTCGTAATTTTCACCTCGTTTCAAGAATCGTAATAAGCCTCCTGTGAAGGCGACTACAGCGCAGTTTGTCGTTTGTTTACGCAGAGATATATACCATCTGCGCAGTTATCTCAGAGGTCCTGGAGGTCAATTCTGTAATTCGAATGAGATCATTCATTTTTGGCACTTTTATCTTACGTGAGTTTGTCGCGTGATTCTGTAATGACGAAGTGAAAATATGAAATCACTAGATTTACTGGTGTAGTGAAAATATGAAGTGAAACAGTCCGATTCACGCTCACACGCTTAGAAATCATTTTATCCTTGTTTGTTAAATGTTAAACGAAGACAAACGATGCTCATGAGTTGTTAGCATAAATCGGACCACGGCCATAAAGTTCAATTTATTCAAAGAACTGGAAAGGATACGGGCAATAGGAATCAAGCGTAGAAGACGTCGCGCAAATAACATACTCGTATCTATAAAGTGTAAAACTTCTTTATTAACTAAAACGCACTTACATGTTTCGGCTCACTTTTTTGAGTCTTTCTCAGAGACAATACAAATTAACATACATAAACTGTGAATAAAAATTATCTTGTTATGGTGAGTTCCCCTACTTTGAAAATTTAAATGCCAGAATTAAACCTAAAAAGAGTGAAAGAAAAAGAAAAAAGAACAAAAAAAAGGAAATAATGGAAATATCGAAATAGAAAATATGAAAAATTAATTTATCAAAAATCTTAAGATTATAATTAAATATCCCGAAAATAAGGACGCTCACTCTGATCACACAAATCACAAACTATTGTAAAGGGTGTTTTTTTAAGCCCGATAGAACTTACAACTGTAAAAACTAGCACAAAAATGCAATTATAATAAAAAATTTTTTTTTATTCGAAAGATCAATGTATGGCATTAACAATTGAAAATGATTTCGGGCATATGGCCACCGCGGCTGTTCTTGACGAAGCGCATTCTGGACGTCTAATTTGTGAGTAACTTTTTCGAGCAGTGCCGGCCGTATGTCACGAATAACACGAACAATGTTGTCCTCCAAGGCGTCAATTGTTGCTGGTTTATCAGCATAAACCAGTGACTTGACGTAGCCCCAGAGGAAATAATCGAGAGGGGTCAAATCGCACGACTTTGGAGGCCAATTGACAGTTCCATTTCTCGAAATCAACTTA